GCAGAGCTGTAGCGCGATCAAGAAGAGCGCTATTGAGAATCTAGGTGCCATGGTGGAAACGTGTTCGTCCAGTCGCATTTCTTCATTGCTTGATCGACGACAGGAAGAGGGGTGGAAACTATGCCACCCATTCGATGATCTGAACTTAATATGCGGCTACGGCAGCATCATGTTCGAAATCGTCGAGAAGGTGGGCGAACCGGACGTGATTCTGGTGCCAGCCGGGCCGGTAGCCGGCGGCGGCCTTCTGTGTGGTGTTGCATTGGCTGCCAGGTGATAATCAGTTACCTCGGTGCGTTGTGCAGCAATTCTCGTGCTGTTTCTGTTGCAGGCTGATGGAACTGCCCACCAAGGTGTTTGGCGTCGAGATGATCCCTGTCGACGAGGACCCGGCGTGCAAGTCAAATAGCATCCTGCGACGGTGCGCGTCCATGCGCCAGATGGACCTGAAAGGACTGACAGAGAAGTACTACGGCGAAACTACTTTCCGCATCTGTTTTGATTGTGTTGACGGCATCCTGTCGGTCAGCGAGAAGCAGATCCTGCAGGCATGTAGCAAGCTGTTCGCCATGGGCATAATCGTCGAGCCGTTCGGTGCGTCGGCCCTTGCTGCGCTGTGCGCCGGTCGGTTGCCAGAAATGAAGAGCCAGAAGGTGGTGTCCGTGCTCAGCTGCCGCAACGTCGACCTGAAGGAGCTTGTTCAACTCAACTCGATGTAAATGTGATGAACCGATGCACACGCACACTTACAGCAATGCGATCGACTCTGACATTCAGCCAGTTAAAACCACCACCGCAGCGTCTACAATAGCTTTTTGCCCCAGCTGCTCGTTCGCAATTTACCTAACGTACGCCGAATAATGTTCTCTGGTGGCTCGGACTTTAGAGTTTTAGAAATTAAACGAATTGTGACTCGCGAAGTTTTCACTATCGGCATATTTGGTTCGACAGGTCGATATTTATTCCAATAACGCGGTTTGTATTTTGTAGTATAGCCATGTGTGTACAAATTTTAACCGTCTGCATTGCACGCCTTTGGCAAATTAAAGTTTCTAGAGTCACGGTAGGATTGTGTATTCGCCAAACTACTCACGGTAGGATTGTGTTTTCACCCATGAATCTAATCATCACAGAATTCTAGCAACGGTCCCAGAATCGGAAACTTCCAATCATGTTATTTAATATTTAAATGTTTCAGCATCGAATCGAGTAGTGCGTGACCACTAAATTTAATGCAAAATACGCAACGGCGTTGTGCGTCGAGGTGGCGAATTAGCTCTGTGTAACAGCTAGCCTGATGTATCTTTCCGTGGCCCGTTTAGATGAGGACTCAAAAAATTATTTATCATGATTCTATTCTTAGCAGACAGTCTTCGATCAGACTCTGCTCCCAATCCCAACGCATGATTACAAACATGGACCCTAAGCACGAAAGATTCTGCCAAGCTAAAGATTACACATCATGGCGTTGTAGGGTTTATGTTTGGAAGGGCAGAATACGACTGAATGGTCACAAGCAGATATCCACCATGTTATTTCAAGAGCGAAAAACAACTTGATATGACAATGGGCTATGCATATTGCAAGAACGATTTATCGTTGTATAAAATGGGTTAACTGGAAATGGGACTTCTGCAAATTGTAAACGATTCCTGAGAAGAATTCCAGATC